GAGGGGCAAGAACAAAAGCAGGGATACCAGTTAAGAGAAACAGTAGTCCAGGAGAGAGAGAAATGTAGCTTTAGCTAGGATAAGAGTAGTGAAGATGGGGGACAGTGGGCAGATAGGGTTGTTTTGTAGGCAGAGGAAAGGACGTGCTGATAAATGGGAGGGTGGGGGCAGTTGAAAGAAAGAGAGGATTCAGGGACTGACTCCTAAATTTTTGGCCTGAGTAACTGGGTGTTTGATGATACTATTTACTGAGGTGGGATGTGGGGAGGGGCTTAAGTTGGATGGAGAAACAGAAAAAGAGATGGTTGGCAGAATTTGGTAGCAACACATATGGTCTACCACATACCACATAGGATTTTGCTATCAAGCGGAGGTTTCCTTTTCTTCCATGACTCATGTACTAAATCACTATTAACCCTGACGTTGAGTCCAGCTCTTTCTTTCCCAGAGAGTTCCCCATGCAGTGAACAAGAAATGAGATGTTCATTTTCTCCATAAAGGCCACCTAGGTCATCTCTTGAAAGACCTAGAAGAGTGATATCTGTCTCTATTTTTGGAATGCCTACATGCCCACGAAACTCAGCAGGTTTCAAATTCCACCAGTCCAACAGCCTTGCAGAAATGCACAGAGTTATCAGTATCACCACATAGATTGGGTAAGGAAGTTCAATTGCTTGCTGATAGACTTTCCTGTCCAAACATTGGTCTCTTATGGTGAGGGGGGGCGGTGGTGGGAAGGGTAGGGTTTTTATTATTATTATTAAATCATATGTTTTTCCTCTGCCACAGAAATTGACACAAGCTGATTTATATGTTCCAGGGATTTAGACATAATGCATATCACATTACTGCAGGAATTTTTCACTGTTTGTTATTGTTTAAACACTGGAGAACTTTGGCGGAGTCATTTTCTTGGCTTCTTTCTGGTGTTTCTGCTGCCAAGTAATAGAAGAAACTCCAACTGTACAGTTCTAAATTCTCAAACAATGTCCACGGATGTTCACCATTGGGCCAGTTGAGAATCTCAGGGTGAAATATTGGAACACTTGCCTATTCTGACTGCAGCTAAGTGGAATTATGACTTGATTCTTGTGTTTAAAAAATACAAGCATAAATTCCTTCTTCTACCCAGGCATCCCTTCCTGTCCCTCCTACCTTTGCCCCTCCATAAGAGGTCTGAAAAATCTAAGCCTGAAACACAAAAACAACTATTACAAAGTTAAAAGAATTTAAAACTTTTTTTCTACCATATTAATAGCTGCACATCACTACATACAACAGCCACCTATCCTATTCCTTACCAATCAGGATGTGGGATGAAAGGGGTGGGCAGGAACCAAATACGCTGTTTACAGATTTCCTATTAGTCCCAATAATTTGGGGCTGGTTTTAGCCTCAAGTTTGATTCTTGCTTGCCAGTGTAGTGTTTCAGAGTCCCAAGACTCTCAGGACAGGACAGATCAGTCTGTTCTCTATATCTCAGTCTAGATTTTTGTAGAGGCAAACCCTAGGGGTTAGGGAGACATGGTGTGATGGAGTAAAAAAGAATACAGAACCATATTTCAGTCCCACCCATGCTACTAACTTGAACCTGGGAAAGTCACATCACCTCTCTGGGCCTCTTTCCTCTATCTGACTAACAGACTCCCAGCGTCAGGCACTCCGTTTCAGGGATAGCACCTCCGCATCCTCTCACCTCTCTGCAGAGCAGCTAGAACTTTTGTATCCAGAGAGAAGATGAGCCCTGAGGCTGCAAAGGGCAGAAAGTCCTTAAGGACCCAGGAAGACAGAAGGTGCCCGGGAGGGAGCTATGCCAGCAGCCCAGAGTCACAAATAGTCACTCTGTGGTTTCTAAAGGGCTCTGGGCATGGCAGGCCTTGTTGTGATGGATGTTAGGCTTCAGCCCAGCAGAGGCTGAATCCAGAGAAGCCCTCAAGGAAAGCTGTGGAAGGGACTGTGCAATCACTCTTCTCTTTAAGGAGGATCTTTGGCCTGACAGGGTAAAGGATGCACTGCCTCCCTGGGGATCAGGTTTACCGTGCAGGCTAAGGATGTGATGAAAGCACCATACATGTTCATCTGGGGTTTCTGGGGTTAGATGAAATGAAAGAGCTAAATCCAGAGGCTAGTAACTTGTGCGGGGGGTTCAAATATCATTTAGTCTCTTGGATTGGGTTCTGTGGAAGCTGACTTAGAGACAGATTATTGATTGCAGTGCAAGAAGTTTACTGATTTAATGATTACAGTGCAAGAAGTTTAGGGAGTGCTTTTAGGATCAACTCCTGTGGAGGAATGGAAGGAAACAGGACTGGGCAGAGGAAGCAGTTTGACTGTGGTGCAGTCACAGGAGGCTTTGGCAAGCCCACAGGGAGCTCTGAAGTGGTGATGGCTGTTCTGAGTTGTTCTGAGCTGGGGTAAAAGGGCCAACAAAGCCTTGATATCTCTGCTTGGACCAGTCATTGGATGCTAGTCACGGGGCATGACCTTGGGTAATGTGACTCTTCAGCCAAAGACAATTCCTTGAGAGGGCTGACAGCTGAGGGCTGTCAACCTACAACCTCCCCAGTAACTGGGGCATCGGTCCTCCAGTCCTGAAGGGGGACAAGGTAGGACAGTGCAGCATTTGTTCTGAGAGCAGCACCTTCAGGACCCAGTGGAGTCTTTTCCTGTGGGAAACTTACAATAGGAAGGTTAATGGGACAAAACAGAACTCTTGCTGCTGTTGCTGTAGCTCACCTTAAGGTATAACCGACATACTCATCATTTCCTGCCTCTCCTATCCATCCTAGATTCCTCTCACCCTCAGCACCTCTAGGTGGCTCACATGGTGGCATGGCCCAGACCTCCATCCCTAAGGGGGTTGAGCCTCTGGTTGCCATGGACCTCTGAGGCTGTGGCTGCTGAATTTGTCTATTTACTGTAAAATAGGGCAAAGGAGAACTGAGGCACCCAGGTAGATCATGTGGGTGCCAAGCCATTTTACTGCCGGTGAAAAACTGAACAATCATAGTGCTTCCCTGTGCCCAAGGCTATGTATGCTCCTCCTCTACAGGGGATGGGGTCCTCATTATTACCTGGGCAGCAGGTCCAGCTCCAGAATCCCGTCTTGGCGTCTACTCGTTCGTGCTGTCCCTGGCATAAGCTGTTGCAGGTTGGGTTCTCTGGGAATACTCTGAGTTGCAGGGCATTTACTGGGGAGTACTCTCCCATCTGTGGACAGAAGGAGGCAAGGCCTGGCAGAGGGAGAAGTCGGGTTGCCGAGCAGCGATAGGAGGACCTCAGAAGGTCCTTAGGGAACTCTGAAGCTGAGATGGCCCCTTTCAGTTGTTCAAGTTGGGCTGAGGGAGCCAGGTTTTTTACCTTGCATCAATCGGTCACTGGTTGCTAGCTGCCCTGGGTAGGTGTGATCTCGGGCAAGGGCTCTCTTCAGCTAGTGGCAGGTTTGAGGTGGAAGAGAAGGAATAGATCCTTCAGTCCTGAAGGGGGATCTGGGCAGCACAGCATGGCATCCGCAACAGTTGGTACCTTTCAGTTCTACCAGTCAATGTGATCTTGGCATTCACTATAAAGAGTTTTCAGTCTGGGATGGAGGGAGGGTCCAGGGACCCTGTGCGCCAGGTCCCTCACAGGACCTTGAAGGCTGATGTACTTGATTCCTGCAAATGCTCACCATTCTCTACTGATAGGAAAATGGAGGGAAAGGATGCGTTTTATGACAGAATTAATTTAGTGTCTGGACAGAAGCCTCGCCAGACTGAAGGAGGAATCAGGCAATCTATCACAAGGAGCTACCTGCAGGAGATGCCTTGAGGCTGAGAGTAACAGGGAACAGGATGACATTTCCTTCTGAATAAGCCACTTGAGCACAAAATTTATTCAACAAGAAGTCTTCCCTGGTTAACTGGGTAAAGCCACAGAAGCAGCTGAATAAGCTGGGATCTCCCAGTTTACCATGGAAATCTTTGGACAGTGCTACACCTCACAGGTGCTTGATTACTGTTTGTTGAAGGCATGAACATAAGAGACTTTGCCTTTTGGTTTTATCAGAGTCCGGATGACAGTGCGTGCGTGCGTGTTAAGTCACTTCAGTTGTGTCTGACTCTGCAACCCTGTGGACTGTAACTCGCCAGGTTTCTCTGTCCATGGGATTCTCCAGAAGATGCTGGAGTAGGTTGCAAGGGATCTTCCCAACCCAGGGATCGAACCCTTGTCTCCAGCATCTGTCTGCATTGGTAGGAGAGTTCTTTACCATTAGCGCCACCCGGGAAGCCCAGGGATGACAGTACTGCATTATTTCATTGTTTTCTGTTTCTTATAGAATTTATTTTTGATAACTTATACTTTCCTAAAATTGTTCACTTCATCTGTTTTTTAAATTTAAGTTCCAGGAGGATAGAGCCTGTGTTTGTTTTGTCTATTGTTGTGTCCTTTGCATCAGCAAAAACCATGGAGCAGGCTTCCAGTAAATATTTGTTGTGTGAGTGAATGTGTGTGTGGGTGGGGGGAATGGATTATTTTGGAAAAAAAGAAGGAAGAATTAATTCCTCTCCTAATCGTGACTCATTTTTTTCAGTCCACCCTTGGCCTTTTCTCATTCAAAACATTCATGAATAAAGTGCAGTTCCAAAGCAGTTGGCGCTGTTAATGTAACAGTGTTTGAAAATACCATTATTGGGAGCTCAGCAGGACATCTGTGCTCATCTATGAAGTAGTCATGATATTCTGCAGACCATTTACATCTCTGAGGCCCCCTCCTCTAGGTTTCCTCTACCCTCTCCATTTCAGTAGTTTCCCAAGAATGGGTGATGAACCCACTGTGAGCCAGGCACTGTGTTAGTCCCGCAGAAGTTTTGTTTTTCTGCGCCAAAATTTCCATGTACTGCATTCTCCAGGGTCGGCTGAAGCACTGTGGTGACCGCACTGCCGCGCAACGTCTGGGAGGCGGCGTCGCAGCGCCCCCTGGGGGCCAGCTCGAGATCTCCTCGCCACCGGCTATCCATCCGCAGTGCGCCGGCTCCTGGTTCGAAACAGTTAGGAGATGGACTGACTCCAGCTTCCGCTCAGGGAGGCGCTCCTGAGCGGCCTAGCCTCCCAGGGCCATGAAGAAGTCTGTCCCGAAAAACGTTAAAGGTAACTGGGTATGTTCTGGAGACCAAGACTCCTTCACTTTTCCTCGTCTGTAAAATGGGGACATCACACTCTTGGCTTCTGAGATAGCCTCTCACCATCTTTTGTTTACCAAACTATAATTTACATACAGGAAGAGGCCCCCCCCCCCTTTTTTAGTGTATAGCTCTGTGAATTTTGGTAATCATATATCCGCATTTAACCACCTATAATCAGGACGTGGCGCTTCCACAACCCCTGAAGTTACCTTGTGATGCTCGTTTACTGCCAACCCCTTTTCCACCCCAGCTCCCGACACTTCTGATCTGTTTTCTATAGTTTTGCCCTTTCTACTGAGAATGTCACAAAAACGGAAGCATACAGTATGGAGTCTTTTGAATCTGGCTTCTTTCACTTAACCCTGCTGTCTTTTGTGACTGGGCTTCATAGATTATATCAGGAGCATGTTTAATTTGCAAGCTGAGGTTGGAACTCAGACCCTGTCTATGATGCCAGTTCTCTGTTTGCTCAGGAGCCATAGACTTGAGGAGGGAATGACCTGTTCCAAATTGCTCCTGTAATCCTGAAAAGTCTTGAAGATGGTGCCTTCTTTATACTAGGATTCTTGCCAGGAGAATCGCCATGGACAGAGGAACCTGGTTGGCTATAGTCCCCGGGGTCACAAAGAGTCAGACATGACTGAGTGATTAAGCACACACTTAATTTTCCTTCCAGTCAGAGAGCATCTGTGGTTGTGGGGAGGGTGAGGTTGGAGACAGGCAAGGACACTTGCTTGAAGTTGAAAGGACTGTGAAACCCCTGGAGATGTGGGAAGGGCCACCCCCAACAGTGGGGAGGACTCCTGAACCCACTCCCCCACCCCCAAACACTACAGTCACATGGATTTGGCAAAGGTTTGGCAACTAGCGGTTTGTCACTTCTTAAGGAAAAGTGCTGGCTGTGTGAAAGGCTGGAAGAGTGTGCTGAAAACAGGATTCCCCAGAAGCTTCCTGTGAACTGAAAATGAATCTCAGAAGCATCCTCTTGGAAAAGTAACTTGTTGTTCTAAATCACTCCTCAGTCTCTGAAACTTTTCTTGTGAGATTTAGTTCTGTATAAAACATATTTCAATTCCTCACTACCCATTTTCCTGGATTTTCCTCCCAAATGCTTATTTTCTACTGTCCTTTTCCATTGACATTGTCATGACATGCTTGGGTGAAGGCAGTAACACTCTCTCTTCCAGTCTGGACCCCACAATCCATACAGCAGCCTGAGGTGTTTGTTTCTTTCTTTGAATGTGATCTTAGCTTGTCCTGCCAAGGTCGCTTCTAAGATTTTTTAAAAAATTTATTTATTTTACTTTACAATATTGTATTGGTTTTGCCACACATTGACTTGAATCCGCCATGGGTGTACCTGTCTAAGCTTTCCCAGTGAGGTAAAATGGCTGAGCAGCCTGTCTGCGACGGCTTTGCTCCTATCTGTCCCTTACTGGTCTCCTTTTATGTTCTTTCCTGTCTCAGAATCTTAGTTGTTCTCTTCCACCATACTTTGCTTAAAGGTCTCATATTGGGCCTTTCGACCTCAATTCAAATTTTACCTCCTCTGTGAAGCCTTGACCCGTCTTCCCCACAGGAGACTTAACCTGTTGGTCACCCTCAGAGCTCTCTGTATTTTTCCTTCATAGCATGTGTTACAGTTTGTTGTTCAACGTATGTTTACACAGCTCATTGATATTTGTCTCCTTCACTCGGCTGGAAGATTCATGAGGGCAAGAAACACTTAAGTTTCCTAGCACATTGCCTGTATCAATAAATATTTGTTAAGTGAATGGATAATAATAACTAACTTTAATCAAACATTCACAGTGTGCTAGGCACTGTGAAAAAGCCCTTTAACTGTCTCCTTTAATTCTCATAACAACCCTCTGAATGGGTATTTTTATTATCCTCACTTTACTGATGCAGAAACTAAGGAAGAGAGAGGTTAAGTCACAGCCCTAAGATTCTGGCGTTAGAACCCCAGTTACTACTGTCATGCTGATTTCTAGCAGAAAGACTAAAACAAATCTCTCCATTTTTAGGAAAACAAGTCAACCTCAAGGTCAAGCCATCTGTACACGACTTGAGCAAAACTCTTCAGACCAAGCTCACTGTGGGTACTCTGGGATTAGGCCTGATCATCATCCAGCATGGGCCCTACCTTCAGATCACCCACCTCATTACCAAGGGAGCTGCAGCCAGGGATGGAACACTCCAGCCAGGTGACTGTGATTTCCCCAGGCCTCCCGACCCGTCTACTCTGCCTCCCTTTCATCTGCCTGCAGGGAGACTCAGGTTGTTAGGTTCCAGTGTAACAGTGATGATGGTGACATTGTTTGAAGGCTTTCAGTGGGCAAGCCAGCTGCTACTACTTGTATAACCCTCCCTGTATTCACTCGTTGAATTCTTTTATTTATTTGTTTTTGGCTGCTCTGTTGCTGTGCGGGCTTTTCTGTAGTGGTGAGCAGGGTCTCCTCTCCTGTCGCAGTGCTTGAGCTTCTCACTGGAGGTGGCTTCTCTTGTTGTGAGGCATGGGACCGAGGGCGCACATGCTCCAGTCGTGGCTCCTGAGCTCTAGAGCCCAGGCTCAGTAGCTGCGGCACACGAACTTAGGTGCTTCACGGCACGTGGAATCTTTGCAGCTCAGGAATTGAACCCAGGACTCCTGCTTCGGTAGGTGGATTCTTTACCACTGAGCCATCAGGGAAGCCCTATTTATTGAATTCTTATAATAACCCTTTAGGTAGGAACTGTGGTTATCATCCACCTGTTACAGATGAGGAAACTAAGGCTCAGTGAGACTCAGTTCCTTGTCCAGGTTCACCTCCATCTAGAAGGGATTCATATACAGGAAGAGTGTCACTCCAGCATTTATGGCTCTGTATGGATAAGGCTTTCTTCTTTTGTAGGCAGTGTGAATCATCATTAATGTTTAGATGTGTGATCTCATTTCACCCGGCTGACAATCCCCAAGGTAGATTCTGCATTAAACCGATATACAGATGAGGAAACAGATATTGAGTAACTTGTGCGTTGTCACACCAAGGAGTGGAGATTTGAACGCTGTCTTTGTCTGTACTTCCCTGCTTCTCTTGTCTGTAGATGAATGAATTTTCCATCCATTTCAAGACATTTTCCCAGTGCCTTCTCTGGGCTGTGCTCAGGAGTCAGGGACACACAGTGGGATGGTAAGGTGGTGGAAGGAAAAACCATTCAGTGCGAGCCGGCCTGAATTCAGGCCCAGGCTGTACCTCTTTTGTGGGTTCTTTGACCTTGGACAAAGTCCTTTAACTTTCCTGGCCTTACTCACCTCATCTCTAAATTGGGAAATACCACCTTTGTCAGAAGTTGCTAGTATTTGATGAGATAATCTTTATGAAAATGCTTGGAGAGCCACAGTGCTATGGAAATATTGGCAATCCTTTCTCTAAGGCTGTTCTTAGAGATTCTCCAGACTTGTATCTTGTTTTGTTGTTAACCAAAAATGATTGTGTATTGGCCAAAGTATTGGATAATATTTTTGCATCAGGTCACCTGATGCAAAGAGCTGACTCATTGAAAAGGACCCTGATGCTGAGAAAGATTGAGGGCAGGAGGAGAAGGGGATGACAGAGGATGAGATAATAGGATGGCATCATCGACTCAATGGACATGAGCTTGAGCAACCTCCAGGAAATGGTGAGGGACAGGGAAGCCTGGCATGCTGCAGTCCATAGCGTTGCAAAGAGTAGGACATGAGTTAGTGACTGAACAACAACAATAAAAGTGATTGTGGTACCACAGCCCTAGTGGATTAAACCACTGGTTTGCAACTCTGGTTACTTACTCGAATCACCTGGAGACCTTTAAAATAAAAATGGCTTGGTCCCATCTCCCCAGAGGTTCTGATTCAGTTGGTTTGGGGACAGGGCAGTTCATGGTTTAAAAGCTTCTCAGGTTATTCTAATTGTAGTTAGGGTTAAAGGCAGTGGATTAAGGAATTAAGTGGATCAATGATGCTGTTATGAAAGTTTACCTCACCTTAAAATCCAAAGCATTTTCTCCACATATCACTATTTGGTGCTGGGGAACAACCTGCTAGAAAGAAAGTTCTGGACTTTGAATCCAACAGAACTCTAGGCCAGGTCCCATGGGCCTCTTCTTCCTGTTCTCCTTAGATTTTCTGGAGTTAGGAGACAGACGCTGGTTGATAAGCAGAGTGCACACTCATTGGAGTGGGATGGGAGTATGCTTTCATGAAACAGAATCTCCTGGTGGGAGTCATAGTTAGTGGGCTCCTGGAGGTCAGAGGCAGTCTTGAATTCATCTTTTAATGAATTCAAGGGACTTAACATTAGCACTGGTGCATTTATTATGCCTGTGCTTGATAAATGAAGAGTAAGTGAGCATTTGTTCTAGGCATTTTGCAAGGTGTTTCCACATCTATTATCTAATCTTTGCAACACTCCTAGAAGGTAGATAACAAAATACAGAGGCTCAGAGAGATGAATTAAATTGTTTAGTAGAGAGCTAAGTGGGTGGTCTAAGCTGATTTGAACCCATGTCTGCCCATGTCTGCTTAGAAAGCCCATACCTTTGACTAGAAAAGAGATTGCAATATGGAGTAAGTCCAGAGCCCCAGATCTCTTCATGACAAGTCAGGCACTTCTCTTCAAGGTCTAGGATTCAAAGGTTCTGTAACTCAGTCCCTTTGACAATGATTATGAGATTTTGAGAGCTGATGGTCCTAGAAACCTGATTTTTTTTTTAACCCCGTTACCTCCCAGCCCCATTATTTCTTATGTGCTTTGAATTTCTCTTCTTTTGGTGTTTCTTAATAGGGGTTCATCTTGATTTCCTAATTTATTTTGGCTAAACTTTAAAATCCTTTTGGCCAGCATAGTTTTTAGCAAACTCTGATATCCAGAATCTTAAGAAATTAATATAGCATTTTTCTTTTCTTGGAGAAATTAATATAGATTTGAAGGTAAAAATTATGTACTGGTCACCAGCCTTACTAGGCCACATTAATTCAATAAGCGTTTCCTGAATGCCTGCTGTGTGCACGCATCAGGCACTGGGGTGTAATGGTGAGCCAGTCATACGTGGTCTTGAATCACACAGAGCTTATGGAATTTATAGCCTAGTTGAGAGAAATGGGAGAAAAATAAAATCTACTTTTTGGTAGTGGCTTGGCTGCTGAAAAATTGATTAAATATAGATAACTGGGACAGTTTATACAATGTGGTTCCTTCAGCCCATTAAAACAAAAAATGTATAATATTAATATTTATGAATGCCAAATTGGTGCTTCTTTATGAAAGACAATGTTAATGTCTCTTGCTAGAATAATCATATTCATACAATGACACCTTTGGTTTATAGCCAGGATGGTCAGGCAATTAAGCTGTTTATTTTCTGCCCTCTCGATAAGTCACCTTTTTAACAACATAATTAAGCAGCATGTCAAGCCATAGCTTTCAGCTCTAAACACCCCTTTTAACATTAGGCAAGTAAGCTTATCCCAAGAGGGTTTCTTTTTTTTACATTTTAATTAACCTCTATAGGGTGAACAGCTGTTTCAGATTATACAATCTCTAGGTAGCTGGGAGAAGCCCTGTTTCATTCTGAAATTAGCCACAGCTGTCTTTAAAGACCAAAGTAGAAGCTTTTCTCCACCCATCTCAGTATTCATTTTCTTTAAAACTGTGACCTTTGTTTCTGATAGAATCAAGCACTATGGAAATTTGTCTTTGGTGTTCCTTGGAGGCTTCCTTTAGGATCAGCATAATTTCCAATTATAGCAGAGTAAGGAGTAGTGCTTCCCAGGTGAGACTCAGTGGTAAAGAATCCACCTGCCGATGCAGGAGACACGGGAGATGCAGGTTTGACACCTGGGTTGGGAAAAACCCCTGGAGGAGGAAATGGCTACCCACTCCAGGATTCTTGCCTGGAAAATTCCATGGACAGAGAAGCCTGGTGAACTACAGTCCATGGAGTCACAAAGAGTTGGGAAGTAGTGATAGAGAAAGTACTTCATCTTGACTCTTTTCTACTCTTAGGTTAGACCTCAGCTGTCTTAGAATGAGGTGATTGAGGGATCCCTAGCTTCCCATGCACAGCAGGGTGAACATTCTTTGGGACTTATTAGGGTCACTTTATCTGATGTTAGCTCTGAAGTCTCTATGACCATGTGGCAGGATGATAGTACTTGTATGAGCTGATAACTAAGATTTTATTTACCCAATGTGACTCTGTCCTTAAAAATCAGTTTCCCTGTATTCCTTCTTCTCTTGCTAGATGCCCTTATACCAGTCAGGGGTCTTAACTGCAATCAATAAAGAAGTTCTATTGTTGTTGTTGTTCAGTCTCTTTAAAATGTTATGTCCAACTCTTTGCAACCCCATGGATGATAGTACTTGTATGAGCTGATAACTAAGATTTTATTTACCCAATGTGACTCTGTCCTTAAAAATCAGTTTCCCTGTATTCCTTCTTCTCTTGCTAGATGCCCTTATACCAGTCAGGGGTCTTAACTGCAATCAATAAAGAAGTTCTATTGTTGTTGTTGTTCAGTCTCTTTAAAATGTTATGTCCAACTCTTTGCAACCCCATGGATGATAGTACTTGTATGAGCTGATAACTAAGATTTTATTTACCCAATGTGACTCTGTCCTTAAAAATCAGTTTCCCTGTATTCCTTCTTCTCTTGCTAGATGCCCTTATACCAGTCAGGGGTCTTAACTGCAATCAATAAAGAAGTTCTATTGTTGTTGTTGTTCAGTCTCTTTAAAATGTTATGTCCAACTCTTTGCAACCCCATGGATGATAGTACTTGTATGAGCTGATAACTAAGATTTTATTTACCCAATGTGACTCTGTCCTTAAAAATCAGTTTCCCTGTATTCCTTCTTCTCTTGCTAGATGCCCTTATACCAGTCAGGGGTCTTAACTGCAATCAATAAAGAAGTTCTATTGTTGTTGTTGTTCAGTCTCTTTAAAATGTTATGTCCAACTCTTTGCAACCCCATGGATGATAGTACTTGTATGAGCTGATAACTAAGATTTTATTTACCCAATGTGACTCTGTCCTTAAAAATCAGTTTCCCTGTATTCCTTCTTCTCTTGCTAGATGCCCTTATACCAGTCAGGGGTCTTAACTGCAATCAATAAAGAAGTTCTATTGTTGTTGTTGTTCAGTCTCTTTAAAATGTTATGTCCAACTCTTTGCAACCCCATGGATGATAGTACTTGTATGAGCTGATAACTAAGATTTTATTTACCCAATGTGACTCTGTCCTTAAAAATCAGTTTCCCTGTATTCCTTCTTCTCTTGCTAGATGCCCTTATACCAGTCAGGGGTCTTAACTGCAATCAATAAAGAAGTTCTATTGTTGTTGTTGTTCAGTCTCTTTAAAATGTTATGTCCAACTCTTTGCAACCCCATGGATGATAGTACTTGTATGAGCTGATAACTAAGATTTTATTTACCCAATGTGACTCTGTCCTTAAAAATCAGTTTCCCTGTATTCCTTCTTCTCTTGCTAGATGCCCTTATACCAGTCAGGGGTCTTAACTGCAATCAATAAAGAAGTTCTATTGTTGTTGTTGTTCAGTCTCTTTAAAATGTTATGTCCAACTCTTTGCAACCCCATGGATGATAGTACTTGTATGAGCTGATAACTAAGATTTTATTTACCCAATGTGACTCTGTCCTTAAAAATCAGTTTCCCTGTATTCCTTCTTCTCTTGCTAGATGNTAAGGGATTTGATTTAGGTCATACCTGAATGGCCTAATGGTTTTTCCTACTTTCTTCAAGCTCTCCCTTGAAGTTTAAAGAACTTTCTTCAAGTTCTGTAAAGGCACTGAATTTAGAACATTTAATCTGACAGAATTCCTGGAAAGCCTTGAGAACCAGGTTTGGAAAATGATGAGAGAACAAAAGACCATGGAAACTGGGTGCTCCTGTCTCTTCTCTGTATCGCCTGCTTCAGGTTTAGTGACCCAGGGGGACTGACCAATAGCTGGACCTAGTCTGCATGTCCATGCCTTAGCTGCTGGGTACAAATGAATAAATTGGGTCTATTTAACATCCAGTTGGGAGGTCCAGCGACGTGGCTGTCAAGATGTGGTTCTCTTTCCGTCTGCTGGGGGCTCAGAAGCTGCATGGCTGGCCATCATACTCCCCTCCCTGTTCAGCTCTGTCCTACGATAGGAGACCTAGGTGTCAAATCCCTTTGAGCTTCCATACTCTCTGCATACACATCTTCAACTTAATTAAAGCATGCTAAATGTCCAGTGTTATATGTAGAATTACTTGCTCAATGAATACTGCATAAGGAAAGAATATTAAACTGAAAGGCTTGATGTTTAATATGGTCTGCTTACTGTGGAGGGCATTGGCAATGGCCAGGCAGGTATAATATAAAGTAGGTCATTTGTTCACTTAGTGTAAGTGATTTTTTTCTTTAACAGTAGTAGAGCCATTTATTTTACTTGAAACAAGTACATTTTTAGAATCTTCAAGGATGGTTCAGATTATAAATCATTTTTTGCCTCTGTCACACCAAGGACTTCTGAAATGTTCTAAAAACATGCTATAATATCTACCATTACACTATTAAGAAACATCTTGCATGTATTCATTATTCACTGAGAGGATCATTTTTTTTTTTATTAAATAAAGTTTGAAGCCTGGTTTTGGTTCAAAATGAACCAACAATGTGAACCTATAAAATGAAATACTTCACACACACACAAAAAAAAACCCACAGGAAGAAACATTGCACATTGAAGACAGAAATGGCATGGTCTTTTTTAAACCATCATCTTAATTTTACTTAATTTTTTCCCTTTTTCAGGTGATGTTTTGATTAGTGTTGGCTATGCAAATGTGTTAGGTTATACTCTTCGAGAATTTTTAAAGCTTCTGCAACATATCACCATAGGAACAATACTACAAATAAAAGTTTACCGAGATTTTATAGACATACCCCAAGAATGGCAAGAAATATATGATTTAATCCCTGAGACCAAATTCCCAATCACACGGTAAGTAGTTAAGTTTAGGAAATCTTTGTTATACTACAGAATTCCCCAGGGTCTATGAAGCATAGTCTTTGTTAAATGTGAGAATTATCAATTGGACCTTGTAGGAGGAATTAATGACACTGTCACAGTTCAGTGGGTTTCTAAATCCTTTTGGAAGGTACAATCTGTAGGACCTAATATGAGGCAGAATGATAAAGGCAAGAAAGAACCTTGGACATGGAGTTTAAAAAGGACCAAACTACCTAGTGGCAACTCTGCCTTCAAACCTAGATATGTGACTCCCCCTTTTCCAATGTTAGCCCTTAAACATGTGCTGTGAATCCCTTTCCTCATTTGTTTCCAGCATATTCAGTTCTCTCTCTGGATCCTTCTCAATAACCATTAAGCCTGTTTAAAACTCTTCCATCTCAGCAAAGCCCACTTTAATTCCACTCCCCTCTCCTTTCCTTACCAGCCACTGTCCTGTCCCTTGACTCCAAAGCTGTTGAAAGAGTTGTATTAAACATTACCAGTTCCCCAGGAGACACCACATCCCACCTTGGTGCAGACCTTGGCTGAGAGCCCTTTACCCCAAGGTCACCTGCAACCTTCATACTGCTGATTTCAGTGGACTCCTCTCAGTCTCTAATTTTGCCTGGCTTCTGAGCAGCAGCAGGCACTTTACAACCTCCCACCTCAACTCTTGTTGAAATATAATCTTCCCCAGACTTCTGGAGCACCATACTCCCTTATCTCCTTTTGTCACTTCCTCGTGATTGCCTTTTACCAAGCCTTGTCTTTGGCTTTCTCCTCTCAATCTGCTAAGCAAACTCCTTGGTTTCTATTAGTATTCATATATTAATAATTTCCAAATTGTATTATCTCCAAACTTGTATAAACATCCACTTGATATCTGTATCATAAACCTGTTAAACTCATTATGCCTAAAATAAAAAGCCAGTTTGCCATTGTCTTAGTGGGAGAGCATTTGCTTAGTCAAACAAGTCAAATTTAAGGGCTGGCTTGATTCCTCTATCTCCTTTTTCTTTAAGTGGCACATTTAGTGTTCTGATCCAAGAGTTACTGTTATTAATTCTGACCAGGTCCCTAAGCACTAACTGTACAGCTGTGTACCTTTGCTTATTGGGATGTGCTCAAAGAAGTGTGGCTAGGGGCTCTTTACTAAGATTAAAAAATGGCCCATATTACTTCAGAGTCCAGCTTGTGGCCACGGGGACTGATATGGTTCACAGATATGCTTTGCTTATCCCCCTCACTGTTTTAGACAGTGTTGAGAGAAAGGAGGATATATAGGAGAGCTTTTTCCAGGGGCCAGTAATACTCTATTACTTGACCTGGGTGGTAGCTACCAAGGTGTTTAGAATTTTTTTTTCATTCAACTTACTTGCATTTTTCTGTTTCAAAAAAATTTTAATGAAAAAAAATTGAATTGCTAAATTTACAAATCTAAGATTTCATGGAAAGAATCATCATCTCTGGTTTCTCCTGAAAAACAAAAGATGGGCTCATGTCCCCACATGGTAACAGTGGACTAGAGCTGGATAGCAGTTGTTCCCTTCAGATCAGATACAGAATGGGGAAAATTTTTCTCTCAATAACTAAACCAATCCTGCTTTGATTAAAAATCATTAATGATAATACTGGACTTATTGTTTACTATGTGATGGACACCGCTTTACAAGCGTTGTACCACTTAATCCTCACGACAGTTCTATTTATCCTCGTTTTACAGATAAGAAAACTGAAGCCAACAGAGTATGTAAACTTGCCAGAGGCCACAGGGCTAAGTAGTATACGTCTGTGTTCAGAGCAGCAACATCCAATAAGAATTCTCTGTGCTAGTGGAAATGATCTGTATCTGTGCCATTCCGTGTGGTAACCATTAGCCACAGGTGGCTGCTAAGCTCCCGAGATGTGAAGATTTGTAACTGAGGAATTTTAAATTAATTCAAGTTTAATCAGTTTAAATTTAGCAGCCACACATAGCTGGTGGACCCTGTATTGGAGAGTTCAGCTCCGGAAACTGAGCTCTTCACCATTTGCTTATGGAACAACTACATTCTAAGTAGAGTTTGAGATTCAGAATATTAAAAATCTAGGGATGGCAGGTTGGCCATTCAAAAGCAAACACAGAATACAATTTAAGTTATGAGGCTAAAATCCACAAACTTAGAACACCACCAATCATGTTCTGAATCCCTTAATTAAGCAAAGGGCTTAAAGCTAAGACATGTTAGCACCTTATGCAGAAAAGGGTGAGGAAGGGGCAGAAGGGGAACGAAAAGGTTTATTTCGCAAAGTTGTAAGGCTTCTTTCAGGAGCAGATAGCACTGAGTGCACAATTCGCCATGTGATGCTCTGGGCAGGCCTAGTGAAATTAAAAACTGTTTCCAGCGAACCCTGACCTATGCTGACTTGTGGCATTTCTATCTAATGCCAGTTTAATAAGAACCTGGCTCTGCCACCTGTCTTTATGGTGATCTAATACAGCTACAAAGAAGGTCCTTTGAGTCTGAAGGCAAACTGTTCTAGTCCTGAGATCTGCTGAATCTCCTTGCATGGCACTACATCAAAGATTACAGAAAATTGTACAATTTAAGACTAGTGGCTTTCAGAAAAAAATGACTCAATACCAAATGCTATTACCAGAAGAGACAAACTTTAGGGAAGATCTGTTCAGATCCTTAGGAGCAAGCAAACAAACCAAAAAAACCCACAAACAGGCCTCCAAGGATGTTAGGGAAAACATTAGTAAGTCTGATAGGTTGGAGGGGCTGGGGTAGGCAAGAAATCCATTTCCTATTAGCAGGACAGAAGGTAACGGAGGTTCATAATTACAAATATTTAGTTTTGGATCTGCTGGCTAATAGCACCAGAATGAGGGGTAGCATGTGACAGCTTTTGTTCAGGAAAATAATAGCAGGTGCATGTGCTACAGGCATTAGAAAAGTTCAAGAACCCTGTTGGCAAACTAAAAAAAAAATAGAATCTTCACAAGTTTTTGGATGGCAACAGCAAGGTGGAATAGTGCATGATGACACATCTGGGTGGAAGGGTATTCTACATATCCACATTTGTAAACCCAATTGAGAAGCAAAGAATGATGCTCAGGAGCAAAAATAAGATTCAGAAGAATAACCAATGATAAGCATATTGAAAATCTTTGAGGCCCATTATTTCTGGACACCTCCTTGGAAATCAGTAATATTCTATTATTGCTGATCCCATGAGACCCATGAAAACTGAGTTCCATGGGTGAGATGGCTACACTGACCTGTTATTCTGTGTGAGGGGAAATCAACCCACCCTTTAAGGCCTGCTAATATTCTGGTCAGTAGTCTCACTTAAGTCTGTGCACAGCTTTTTAAAGTAATGTGAAATAATTTAGGGAAGAATTTGATTTCCATTTAGGAATGTAAACAAATTTAAAGGTAATTTAAACAAATTTAAAGAGGATCTTAGTTCCTCTACCAGGCACTGAACCTGAGCCCTTGGCAGTGAAAGTATGGAGTTCTAACCATTGGACTGCCAGGGAATTCCATAAGGGTAATTTTTAAGAGAAGATTTTCAATAACAGACAGGTAGTGCCAAAGCTAAACTGTATTTTTTCTTTTATGATCCAAAGCAGGTTATAAGACATCTTTTGATAATGAATGTGTAGACATTAAGAATCCATTTCATTCACTAGTCTTTCCATTTCAGCACAACAAAGAAAATTGAGGAGGCAAAAGATATCGGATCTGTCACAAGCAGTGATGATGATGAAGCTTTTGATACAAGACTTAAGTACTATAAATATCCACAGTCCACTGGACATTACCCTGTAAGGAGACCAATGTCTATCTCCAGAGAATGGCATGGATATAAAAAGAATAACCATGTAATGTGTGTAGGAAAAGACATTAACTGTGATGTGATGATCCACAGAGATCACAAGAAAGAAGTGAGGGCCCCTTCTCCCTACTGGACCATGGTGAAGCAAGACAATGAAATCTCCTCCTCCTCCTCAACTTCCTCCACCTCAGATGCATTTTGGCTGGAAGACTGTACCCCTGTTGCAAAGGGCAGTGGTGAACCAGTATCACGATTTGGTTAGGCAGCAGTTTTCAAATCTGTGACCGCAGAAGCATTTATCTTGAAAACACCCATTTTTTTGGTGCACTTTTGAGTGTTAGGTTGATAAATACTTGAAAGAGAGACTAGAAACAGAAGAGGGAGAAGATGAGAGGGGAAAAAAAAAACACACCAAAATTGTGCCACAGTGAAGATAAACATAAAAAATGAAGCAGTGCAAATATAGGCTACAGCTAACAGGTAATATATATTTTACACAAATAACTCTTTTGGAAAAAAGGCAAAAGGGGGTAAAACCCAGATCATTTAACTGTTCTTACCCAAGAATACAGACTTTTAACTGCTTTTATCTTTAAAAGCCAATAATAATCTGGAGATAGTTACTCTGATAGCCACTTAAGCCTTAATTTTAAGTTTCTCATGCTTCTGTACTTTATAATTATATTCCTGTTCTCCTTAAAAGCATCTAAAGCAAAAACTCAACATAAAACAAATATCTGATGATTAACTAATTAGGAAAAATGCAAGAAAAACATTTAAATAGAATGCTTTATTGACTTTAGGTCAGTTGGGAACAGTTACCTACATTTATGCTTTATGGTATTTCATCTCATTGGAAAAAAAGATAAATGTTACATTAGAGACTTTTCACTTTCATGTATCTGCTGCTCTGGGTTGACAAAACGTTCAGTTCTTTCCTGCAATATGGGATTCAGTATTAGAGGTCATCAATGAAAGGTGTATGCCCCAAATTTCCACTTGCTGCCATTGACTTCCGGCCAGAAACAAACTTCTTTGCAGCCTTTAAGACAGAAACAAAGACAGAAAGTTAATACAAATAAGCAAATAGACAAACTTCTGTTACTCTGAATATTTCATCCTTTGTGTGACTGAGCAAGCGTGATGCTCTAACGATGACAGTAGCTGTGAAAGAGGGAAAAGGAATTTCTGACACTGCAAAATAGGGTAGTCTCCTGGAGCACGGCTGTCCGCCTCTGTGTCTGTATTACAATGGCAAATAGTCCCGAGTCAATGAAAATACATCGATTGTTAACTTGTCAAAGTTACACTATAGCTTAGTGTTCTTTATGCCACTACTTTAGAGTTCCAAGTCTGTTCGTTTACATCAAGCACAGTACCATGAGCAGCGGTGCTTAGATCAGCTTTTTAAATAAAGATGGTATTGGAAGCAGCTGGGTTGGACTCGTGACAGTACAGTATATAAGACAAGGACAACCATTTGGAAGAGTACACAATGATGAAGCCTCTATACAGTCAGCAAAAACAAAAACAAGACTTGGAGCTGATTGAGGCTCAGATCATGAACTCCTTATTGCAAAATTCAGACATAAACTGAAGAAAGTAGGGAAAACCACTAGGCCATTCAGGTATGACCTAAATCAAATCCCTTACAATTATACAGTGGAAGTGAGAAATAGATTCAAGGGATTAGATCTGATACACAGAGTGCCTGAAGAACTATGGACGAAGGTTTGTAACATTGCACAGGAGGCGGTGATCAAAACTATCCCTAAGAAAAAGAAATGCAAAACAGCAAAGTGGTTGTCTGAGGAGGCCTTACAAATAGCTGAGAAAGGAAGAAAAGCGAAAGGGAAAGGAGAAAAGGAAAGATATACCCATCTGAATGTAGAGTTTCAAAGAATAGCAAGGAGAGATAAGAAAGCCTTCCTCAATGATTAATGTAAAGAAAGAGAGGAAAACAACAGAATGGGAAAGACTAGAGCTCTCTTCAAGAAAATTAGAGATAACAAGGGAACATTTCATGCAAAGACAGGCACAATAAAGGACAGAAACAGTATGGACCTAACAGAAGCAGAAGATACTAAGAAGAGGCGGCAAGAATACACAGAACTATACAAAAAAGATCTTCATGACCCAGATAACCCACGATGGTTAATCACTCAGCTAGAGCCAGACATCCTGGAGTGCAAAGTCGAGTGGGCCTTAGGAAGTATTACTATGAGCAAAGCNGAACTAAAGAGCCTCTTGATGAAAGTGAAAGAGGAGAGTGAAAAAGCTGGCTTAAAACTCAACATTCAAAATACTAAGATCATGGCATCTGGTCCCATCCATCACTAATGGCAGACAGAGGGGCAGACAGTGAAAACAGTGACAGATTTTATTTTCTTGGGCTCCAACATCTCTGCAGATGGTGACTGCAGACATAAAATTAAAAGATGCTTGCTCCTTGAAAGAAAAACTATGACAAACTTAGACAGTGTATTAAAAAGCAGAGACATTACTTTGCCAACAAAGGTTCATATAGTCAAAGCTACGGTTTTTCCAGTAGTCACGTATGGATGTGAGAGTTGGACCATAAAGAAGTCTGAGTGCTGAAGAGCTGATGCTTTTGAACTGTGGTACTGGAGAAGACTTTTGAGAGTCCCTTGGACTGCAAGGAGATCAAACCAGTCAATCCTAAAAGAAATCAGTCCTGAATATTCATTGGAAGGACTGACGCTGAAGCTGAAGCTCCAATTACTTTGGCCACCTGATGCAAAGAGCTGACTCATTTGAAAAAACCCTGATGCCGGCAGAGATTGAAGGCAGGAGGAGAAGGGGACAGCAGAGGATGAGATGGTTGGATGGCATCACTGACTCAATGGACATGAGTTTGAGCAAACTCCAGGAGATAGTGAAGGACAGAGAGGCCTGGCGTGTTGCAGTTCATGGGGTCACAAAGAGTCGGACACAACTGAGTGACTGAACTACAACATCGATGATGAACTTAGGTGCCAAGTGAAATCAAGTCAGGACTGCTATCTTCCAATAGTCTGCATATTTTTTCTACCCACAAGGATAGACCCCTTGGTGAGAAGATGGCTGAGACTGTGACATGAAAGGGGAGTTGGCATTTTTAATACAGAAAGGACTGATTTAGGGTTCATTTTGTAGTTCATGTACTTGTTAGGCATAGTAGGGAATACAAAGAGGTATAACACATAGTCCTTGCCCTCAAAACCAGTCAATTTTATAGCAAACAGTATGTGAAAAAAAAAAAAACAAGGGCAGGAGAATGTCTTAGGCTGAGAAAACTAAAGAAAATCTTGAGATGGTGGACTGTGAAGGATTGGCAGGATAGAAAGTTTATTTTGGAGGAGGAAAAATACCAAACTTGACAATTAGTAAATCGTATGAAACTGCCAATATTTGACTCTTCTTGACCTTTAAAAATTTAAAATAGTTTAACCTAATGCTAAGTTAGTTGAATGAGGAAGATAGACTTCCTGAGTTGACAAGGAAGCTATCTGCAGATCTGATGGGATTGAGCCTCTGCCTCCACACCAGGCAGATAGATACCAAATACCCTGAGAATAGCATATACACTCCTTATGCATCCCTTCTGAAATGGCACCATTAAGGACAAGTTATGTGATGTTAAACAGATTTTCATTTGCTTACATTTATGACATCAGCGTCAGCTACTGCGTCAATCTGCTGAAGAACTGTGGATGGCGGAGTGTATGAGCCAGCAGCTAGAGCCTGGGAACCAACTTCATCCAGGAAACCCTCAGAAGACTCCACTGACATCAGGTAGCCAGCTTTCAGCTTGTTCCTGTCCAGTGAAAGGTGTGTAAGTAAGGCAGAAGGCAGTTTTATGGAGCAAGTTAAAGTATGTTCCCAAATCCTTAAACATGTTTGAATAAATATGCAAACTAACAGCTTTGAAATTTCAAGAGTGCTAAAGGTCTCCATTCCATTTCTTCAGTTTACCAACTATTTTATTATTTACATTATCATTTTGAAAGCTGTCATTATAAGATTATACTAAAAACCCAACAGAATGCATTTTGCTTTTAGACTAGAACTCAGATCTAGTTAAAAATATTTTAGTGTGAAGTCTTGATTACTGAAGGAATTCTAGCCTCCTGATACAATTTTGGTGATAATATTAGACATCTCTACTAAAGAAAATACCTGTGAAGGCTCTTCTCACTGTCCCTTTAGCAGAATGCTGTGGACTGGGATTTGTCTCATTGAGGACAGAACAAGTGGGGAAGGAGAATTTAGGTCTTTATAAGTGCCTATAGCTTAAATATGGGCACAAAAGCATCAATTTGAAATAAAATCCAATTCATAATTATCCCAGAAAGAAACTGGTGTTCAATAAGGCACTTGAGTTATTTAACTCAAACTCCGTAGCAAGATGTCCATTTAAACATAATTACAATTTAATGGAGCAATTTTACCACACTGTCAGCTTAACTGAAAAAAGATTTACCTGCAGTAAACTTTACCAAGAGATTATTAGTTTGTCCCTTCAGCAATGACACCTCACTTTCTCTCTTTCAATACAGGAAGACTAAGAACCAAAACGTTTTTGAACTAAAAATGTGTCAACTCCATCAAAATGGCAGGAAATAAACAGAACTTGGCATTAATAACCAAAATTCTACACTTATTAAGAAAATACATTTTCTTAAATAAAGTAAGACTTGAAACAGATTTTTCCTATGATTATCCAGTGTTTCAATTTGTTATAAGTATTTGTTTCTGATGCAGTCATGTAGAGCTGCATCCTATCAGTCCTTGGTTCCATGTATACAACATTTAATAAAGTATGTTGTACTTATTTGAGAGATGCACTTTGTATGAAAAATATAGTAATACTAATGAGAAGAGAAATGGTAAAAGGTTGTTCCCTCCTGGGTTGTAATTCACCATCGTAACTTCCTTTGTGGACAATACTAAATGATCTTGAAGACTGTCTGAGTTTTAGGATCCACATTTTGAATTGTCCTAAATGGATGAAGTCAAATTTAAATGTTTTAATCTTCTGTATGAAAATGCAAGCTGCTTTGTAACTCTGTCCATAGTTTGTCTCTTTTAGAGAAACTCCCAGAACTACTGAGTTAACAGGTTTGTTGTTAGCACTTGCTGTTAGCACAGTGAGGACAGTGGGATTTAAAAAATCACCAAATAGATGAATGTTGCAATTTTTTAAACAGGTATCTTTTATAGTCTATCAAATCAGTAAAGAGAAAAAAAAAAAAGCTGCTAGTGGTTATGATGGAACAGGCACTCCTGATGATGTGATTATAAGCTGGTACAACCTTTTAATACTGTGACTGCAAAATATATAAACACAAACATATATTTTAATGCAGAGCCTTTCATTATCATATTTATAACTCTTGGCCTAGTTGCAAATCTATACCAAAAAGTAATATGAAATATGAAATTTTTTTAAGCCCAAAGATATCCTTTATAGTTTATAATTTCCAACTGCCAACAAGTATATTCTGACATACCAATTACTTCAGTAATCTGAATAAATGAAAACAGCTTTATAAAGAGGTTGGTAATGATAGATAATTATTTATTAACTATATATGTTAATTATTTATTAACAACTATATATTGCAGTATTAGCAATTATGTTTAAAAATGGTGAAGAAAATATTCAAAATGTTAACAATTATATCTCTGGGTGGCAGGAATATATTTCCTCTTCTTTAAATACTTTTTTGTACTTTGCAATCCTATTGTACCTTTGTTACAATAGTATTTTAATTAGAAAAAAATACAACTTTCAAATAATTGAAAGTTAATATTGACACTTACTTGGCAGCTTGGACATCTGGATTAGAAAGGTTTCCTTGAGCAATTGTTTTTACTTGGTTATAAGCAGCCTTGATAACCTAGGATAGAAAAGTAAAAGCTGGTCATCTTTGATCAGTGCCAGAGTCTCCTGCAGTATTCCAGGTGCTCCTCTATGAGGCAGAAACACAAGATGGAAATAGTTGTGTCCATTTAGAATTTGTAAGTCACTATGTGCTGCTTACACTTCCAATAAAGTAGCTGTTTGTACAATATCCAAGTAGCCAAGCTTCTTATAAACTTTAAGGGGCAGAGGGCAGAGGATGGCAGTAGGGTTTAGGAAAAGAAAACTCAGGGATTTATAATTGCTTATGAAGAATAAGCGTCTTTTAAATTTCCCCAGGCTCTCAAAGTATCATGTAATTAATACTGCTATCTAAGAAGAAAGCAGTAAACCATACGCAGCCCATCTGTAAAGACTGTCCATGCCTGGAATGCTGGAGTCATGAAGGATCAAGTTCTAATGATGTGAGTGGGTATAATAAACCGGGCCCATGATTTGCTCCATCCCAACCTTGGCATCATTCGGGGTCTGTTAACTTACTTTACCCTCCAAGTGAGCTGCCTATTTCCATAGCCATACCCCAGACCTGAACACTGAAATCCTCAATTCCAAGACCTTTGGCCTGTCTTTAATCATGCTATCCATATCTTCCATTTTTGCCAACATCTCTAGTTCCTTGATTTGTCCACTTTTGATCTATCACGTCCCACTGACTTTACTTCTTTAGCCTAAATCCATGAATTATCCTTTCAGCCACTCCTACCAGTGTTTCCAACTCCTGCCACCTCTTCATACTTCTGACCAGCCTACTTTGCAAGACTGCAACCTGGGATCAACCCTACAGCTTGCCTCCTCCATTTTTCCATTAGGCTAGACATCTGACTATGAATCCGCTTCTCTGCTCATTCTGTGTGCATCTAGGCACTCCTCCGTCCCCAACCTCTTACTTTCTTTAAACTCTCCTTCTTTCTCTTATTCTCAAAACATGATTTAGCTTCCTACCTCACCAGGGATGTACTTCCTCATCTCTGACATCCTGTTCTCCCATCAGCCTTTATGTCCAAGGATAAAATGTCTATTTATACTTTGGATCCTGCTTGCTCTTGCTTTTACAGATTTAATTCACCTATACTTTCCTATCTCCTATATTCACTCCAATTTCTTTCCTTTCAGTATGCATGTCTGTCTCTTCCTACTTAATCTCTCAGTGTAAACTCGACTAAAATCTCACCCACTCCCCTACACCTGTACCAACTTTGCATTTCTTTCTTCTCATTCATTTCTTAATATTAAAATAAATTTTAGTTCACTTCCAATGTCTTGTAAAAACTGATATTGCCCAAGTTTGCTAAAACTACCAGACTTCCCTGTGGTAACTAAAGGGATGTTAATACAGATTAGATCAAAAGATTGTTAACAAGTCTCTCTTTCTTGGTCTCCAAATATACCAGTTTCTCTTCTTTTTGTTTTCCTGGCCATTTCCCCTAGCTTGACCTTGAGTTTTCTTCTACAAACTTTCGTATGTAACCCTGATTTCAACACACTTTTCTGTTGAGGACTCCCAGTATACATCTTGGCTTTGACCTCACTTGAGTTCTCCATTTAGATACCCTAGAAGCAACTTAATGCCACATGTCCACACAGAACCAAAATACCAAGGAGGTGTTTCCTCCCTATTTCCTGGAAGGGTTAGTATATACATTTTCCATTTTTAACTTTCTTCCATTGCAGATAACACTTTAATGATATTATACTAGACAGAGAGCTGATAAATCACAGTATTCAAACATTCTATATTTTCAGTAAAAAAATGTTAACAGGAGAAAAAAATCTTGTGATAATTTTTCAGTTTGCAACTTACATCTCCAGCAGATGCAGCTTGTGAGATGGTGTAGAACCCAAAGAGTCCAGAATCTGAGTAACTGGCATTAAAAGCAGAAACCTGAAATATAATGAAACTTTACTGTATGTCATCCTACCAGGTAAAACAGGGTACAGTTTCCCTAAGGTTGTCTAGAGAAAATATGTACCTTCACAGTATAAGCAAAGAGATGAATTAATATTTCACTTAACTGGTTCTATTAAGGACTGAAGTGTTCTGTACACAGGTTACCTTTTTCAGAACTATAATGGTTTTAACTTTTCTCATTTAACTCTTTCTAAAATGGATTGCTCACTTTCCTTGGTATTTTCTAACCTTTGGATGATTAAGGGTTAATGCAAACAGTAACCTGTAAATATTACTACATTACTAGTATAGATTCAATACAGCTGAGTGATGCAGATCATGGTCCTTGACATTAGACAAACCTGCTTTCTTCCCTCTGCTGTTGGTGGTGACTTCCTTTTCACCAATTCACTTTTACTTTTTCTTCAGACCAAAGTCAAACGGTTAGAAAATTTTTTCTGCTTAGAAGCAGGTGTCCAGGGGAGCAAGAACTTTAGCCTCTGGAAAGCAGGGCTATTTCTGTGTGTAGTCTGAGTAGAGTGTAAGATCCTTGAGGTGGATATGACATCCTAGTAAAGTGCTTTTCAGTGTTTATGTGGACCAGTAACCTAAGGGTCACTCGTGTGTCTGAGCACTGTATGCTCAGCTGTATCTGACTCTTTGCAACCTCATGGATTGTAGCCTGCCAGGCTCCTCTGTCCATGGACATTTTTTAGGTAAGAACACTGGAGTGGGTCGCCATTTCCTATTCCAGGGGATCTTCTGGACCCAGGGATCGAAACCACATCTCTTGCATCTCCTGCATTTGGAGGTGGGTTCTTTACCAATAGCAATACCTGGGAAGTCCAAGGATCACTTGAGTTGTTATAAAAAACACACTTCCAGGTTCCCACAACTGATCCACTACAGATGAAGCCCGAATTTTAAACTATATTCCAGGTGAAATTTGAAAACCATGGGTTCGGTCCATATGAAGCACACAAAGATATGCACTTTAATCACCTGAAGTTTAATTATAATAACCTAGTCATTCTCCAAATTTCTGGCCAAATTCTAAAGTAGGAATTTCTGTTAAACTATGTCACTAGATTAAACTCCAACTATCCAAAGCATCATTAACGTTCAGTGGAAAAGAGTAAAGCATGAAAAAAAGAAACCAGAGTAGACCACAGACTGGAAGAAAGACCATTTGGAGGAACTCTAATTTAGGACTAATTTAAGATAATGGTTTGAAAACTGTGCTCCATGGAACCCTAAGGCTCTGTTTAGAAGATTCCAAGGGTTTCACTGTCAAGTAAGACTTCTACTTTTTTAAAAGCAAAAGCTTTTGTGTTGGGCATTGCAGCTGGGAAATGGTATTGGATTAAAAAAGGCTCCTGTGCTTAATAACCTACCTGTGCCATGAGCTATTGCTGAAATTATGAACAATACTTAACCCTACAATTTTGTGTTACTTTTTAAATATATCATTGAGTACAGCACTTTAACAGCATCATCTTTTAGGATTTTAAATAGCTCAGTCGAGTTCCTTCATCTCTACTACCTTTGTTCGTAGTAGTAATGCCTCCTAAAGCCCACTTGACTTCACATTCCAGGATGTACAGCTCTAGGTGAGTGACCACACCGTCATGATTATCCAGTCATTAAGACCTTTCTTGTATAGTTCTTCTGTGTATTCTTTCAACCCTTTCTTAATCTCTTCTGCTTCTGTTAGGTCCTTACTGTTTCTGTCCTTTTTGGTGTCCATCCTTGCATGAAATGTTCACTTAGTATCTCCAATTTTCTTCAGGGGCTTGCTGGTCTTTTCCATTCCAATGTTTTCCTCTATTTCACTGTTCATTTAAGAAGGCCTTCTCATCTCTCTCCTAGTTGTTCTCTGGAACTCTGCATTCAGTTTTGGGTATATCTTTCCCTTTCTCCCTTGCCTTTCACTTCTCTTCTTCCCTGAGCTATTTGTAAAGCCTCCTCAACCACGCTGCATTCCTGCATTTCTTTTTCTTTGGGACGGTTTTGGTCACTGCCTCCTATACAATATTACGAAGCTACATCCATAGTTTTTCAGGCACTCTGTCTACCAAATATAATCCTCTGAATCTATTCATCACCTCCACTGTGTAAACACAGGGGATTTGATTTAGGTCATACCTGAATGGCCCAGTGGTTTTCCCTATTTTCTTCAATTTAAGCCTGAATTTTGCAATAAGGAGCTCATGATTTGAGCCATAGTCAGCTCTAGGTCTTGTTTTTGCTGACTGTACAGAGCTTCTTCATCTTTGACTGCAAAGAATATAATCAATCTGATTTTGGTATTGAGCATCTGGTGATGTCCATGTGAAGAGCCTTCTCTTGTATTGTCGGAAAGGGTGTTTGCTATGACTAAAGTGTTCTCTTGACAAAACTCTGTTAGCCTTTGCCCTGTTTCATTTTGTACTCTAAGGCCAAACTTGCCTGTTATTCTAGGTATCTCTTGACTTCCTACTTTTGCATTCCAGTCCCCTATGATGAAAAGGACACCGTTTTTTGGTGTTAGCTCAAAACTGGGAAAGGAGTGCAACCAAGGCTATATCTTGTCACCCTGCTTATTTTACTTATATGCAGAGTGCATCATGCAAAATGCCAGGCTGGATGTATCACAAGCTGATGATACCACCGTAATGGTAGAAAGCAAACAGAATGAGGGTGAAAGAGGAGGATGAAAAAACTGGCTTAAAAATGCAACATCCAGAAAACTGAGATCATAGGATCCAGTCCCATCACTTCATGGCAAATAGAAGCGGAAAAAGTAGAAGCAGTGACAGACTAATTTCTCGGGCTCCTAAATCACTGTGGACGGTGACTGCAGCCATGAAAGTAAGACGCTTGCCCCAGGGCAGGAAAACCAAGACAAACCTAGACAGCTATTAAAAAGTGGAGACATCACTTTGCTGACAAAGGTCCTCATAGTCAAAGCTATGGTTTTTCCTGTAGTCATGTATGGATGGATATGAGATTTGGACCATAAAGTAGGCTGAGTGCCAAAGAATTGATGCTTTTGAATTGTGGTGCTGGAGAAGACTCTGAGAGTCCCTTGAACTGCAAGGAGATCAAACCAGTCAACCCTAAACTATTGCTGAAGCTTAAGCTCCAATTAAGTTCACTGAACTGAACTGAAGCTCCAATATTTTGGCCACCTGATGAGAACAACTGACTCATTGGAAAAGATTCTGATGCTTGGAAAGACTGAAGGCAAAAGGAGAAGGGGGCAGCAGAGGATGAGTCTGTTAGGCAGAACCACTGACTTAATGGACATTCAGTTCAGTTCAGTCGCTCAGTCATATCCAACTCTTTGCGACCCCATGAACCGAAGCACGCCAGGCCTCCCTGTCCATTACCAACTCCCGGAGTCCACCCAAACCCATGTCTGTTGGGTCGGTGATGCCATCCAACCATCTCATCCTCTGTCGTCCCCTGCTCCTCCTGCCCTCAATCTTTCCCAGCATCAGGGTCTTCTCAAATGAGTCAACTCTTCACATGAGGTGGCCAAAGTATTGGAGTTTCAGCTTCAACATCAGTCCTTAACACCCAGGACTGATCTCCTTTAGGATGGACTGGTTGGATCTCCTTGCAGTCCAAGGGACTCTCAAGAGTCTTCTCCAACACCACAGTTCAAAAGCATCAATTCTTCTGCGCTCAGCTTTCTTTATAGTCCAACTCTCAAGTGCACACATGACTAATGGAAAAAACACAGTCTTGACTAGACAGACATTTGTTGACAAAGTAATGTCTCTGCTTTTTAAGATGCTGTCTAGGTTGGTCATAACTTTCCTTCCAAGGAGTAAGTGTCTTTTAATTTCATGGCTGCAATCACCATCTGCAGTGATTTTGGAGCCCAGAAAAATAAAGTCAGTCAGTGTTTCCCCATCTATTTGCCATGAAGTGATGGGACCGGATGCCATGATCTTAGTTTTCTGAATGTTGAGCTTTAAGCCAACTTTTTCCACTCTCCTTTTTCACTTTCATCAAGAGGCTCTTTAGTTCTTCTTCACTTTCTGCCATAAGGGTGGTGTCACCTGCATATCTGAGGTTATTTATATTTCTCCTAGCAATCTTGAAACCTTCCAGCTTGTGCTTCTTCCAGCCCAGTGTTTTTCATGATGTACTCTGCATGTAAGTTAAATAAGCAGGGTGACAGGAACATGAAGTTAATGGACATGAAGTTGAGCAAACTCCAAGAGAGAGTGGGGATTTTGGATTTTTTAAGCATTCTTTTTATATTAGAATAACAGTAAGTTTCTGATAGACCCATTAAGGTCTTCAATATTACAAAGATTTTCTTTGTGTCATCTTAAATTTTAAAAGCAGATTAACACTAAGAGCAAGTTCCCAGGA